TGCAAAACAGATCACAGTGGGGGGAACTGCATGTCTTGCACAGTAAGAGTTCAGAGAAAAGAAGGAAAATGGTTTTTAAACTCTTTCAGTGGGAAGCAGATGAGTGCTTTACTTTCCCAAGCAGTATTTGTTTAATAAAAGCAATGCAAAGACACTAGCACTGATGCAATATTTCTAGAGCCACATCACCAGCTGAGTTCAAATCTCTTGGTCCCTCTGTTACTGAGGAATAAACTACAACTTGTGAATTGTTGCAAAATGCAGATCAGAAGTCTTTTTGTTACAAACAAAGAAAACTGCTTCTCATTTCTATCCTGGTCACCTGATTGCTGAAGAAGATACCCAGCACGACATTTAATGATGTTTTCACTGGTAACTGCAGATGATTCCACAACAACCTCACTAATCACATTAATAGAGCTTCTGTTTCAAAGCTTCTTGTTACTCCTCCAAACCTCGGCTTTCCAGATTATAAAAATTTTCAGAGTCAATTTTAAGAAAGACACAAACATATCAATTTTGTGCCAGGACTTGGGGGCATCAGCTGAGGTGATTTGCTTGCAGGACATGGATGCAAAAGTACTCATATTTTGTGTGTCACACTTTTTCTGGAAATGGTAAGAGATAGTACTTTTGGTCAAAGGAAAAGTATGGGAATGAAGATCATGTAAAGATTCCCCCTGCTTTGGACTGGGAAAAGGGAAAAGGAAAACAAGAACAGTGCTGTAGTTTTTGGGAAGCAGAATAACATTCACCCTCTGAATACCAGACCATCCAGGAAAGAACTGCATCTTCCCTTCCCTACCTTCCAAAATAGGTTTTCTCTCCCTTTAAAGGAGCAGATTCTTGCTCTGTGTTAGCACTGGAAAAGCTGTTTTGGGGGCATAGAGGAGGTTTTGTTGTCATCATTTTTCCACCTCAAGCTGACTAGAAGGAGCAGCATTTTTAGATGAAGTCAGAATAAGGAAAGATCATCTCCTTGGAAGATGCTGTTTTCAGCAAACCAGGGAAATTTCAAATAAATTTGCAGACCAGTAAAAGACAAACAGGAGGACAAAAGATAAAACATGATTTAAGACAATAGTCCATCCCACATGCAACCCATATGAGCCTTGTCTGAGAGCTGAACATAACTATTTTCTCTCCAGGACAGACAAATAAATTCAACAAAAAGGTTCAATTCATTTCAGAGAGAGCTTTCCCCTTCTTACTCAACAAGGCTTATATTGAAAGCCTTGTGTGTAGCTGTCTATTTTTGTTAGTTTACAGGCTGTAAACATTTCAATGTGGAATGTCCTGAAGGAGAGTGTGTCTGTAAACTTCTCTTTGTTTCTTTCCCTCTTTTTAAATGAAAGTTAATTAGACTTGATTTTAGTCCTCTGTTTCATCAGATTCAAGTCTGCTGGTTTTGTGTTGTAGCTTCTGGCTTTACTGATCAAGTGTCACAAAAATACCATAAAGTCCAGAAGTTGTTAATTTAAACAACTTCTTATTTCCTGCCCAGCCCCACCGCCACCACTTTTCCATGCCAGTTTTGCACGGATTTGCAGGAACAGCATTTGTGTAAAGAGGGAGGGAGGGAGGGAGAAACCAACCAACCAACTAAGGAACAAACCATGGAACCAAGGAACCCATTCCATTCTTTACATTAATAGAGAACATTCCTTACTGGGCAGGGGGAGAAATCAAAGAATGCTGCAATGGAGATTTACAGTTACAGATTTACGGTTACAGCATCCATTGCACGCTGCTCTGAGCCCTTTGTCACATTCCATAGACACACCCGAGATCGCTTTGGAAGTTAAATGCTAACATGAAAGAAGCCCTTCTCACCATTTTTTCCTCAGCCCATCCACCTCAGGATTGCAAAGGTTCTGCTGAGCGAGCACTTCAAGCCAGGCTAAAGCATCAGCACCATCCATCACCTTCTAAAGCTGACATACTGAATCCATTGTTTCTTCCCTTTCCCATGAACACAGTAAACTGGGCAATGACCAAACGAGCAATGAGCCATCACAGCCCACATCACTGCCTGAAATGTTTGTAGAATCAAGCTGGAGGTGCAGAGAAACAACTCCTAAAATTTCACTCAGTTTCATAAAAATACAAGGGTACCTTCAGCTCGTGCAGCACAGTGGCTGTTGCAGGACACAATGTGCACTGCAGAAAACACTCAGCTCCATGGCTGGGATTAATAAAATAACCCTCTGAGGTTGTGGATAATTGTCACTGCACATAATCCATGCCTCCAGTTTTAACAGCTCAGCACCAAGGGAGCTGAGATTGCATTCAACCCAACAATCCATGATGACTGGCACACATCAGAGCTTTTTGGAAGCACAGATGTACACATCTTCCTCTGCTAGACACACACAGAAACCTCACACTAAATGTCAACTCTAGTCAAGTTATTCACAGAAATATCATCAGTTACATTCAGTTACCTTTAAGGCATTCTTGCTTCCAAGCAAATCAGAAGACATTTTGGGAAATCAAGGCTAATTTTGAATTCTGGTGACACAAATATACCTGGTTATACCATCTCAGTTATTTTTCTCTACGTTTTGTGGTGGTAATTGCTTGTCTAAGATTATTGATTCAGAAAGGCCTTCTCTGACCCTCAACATAGAGTTTTTGCCAGCACAACTATTTTATTAAATAGCCCGATTTATTTCCCTTTTAGGTTTGGAAATGCAGATTTGGCTCCAATTTCAATATCTCATTTTTACATATGGTGATAAACAGGAAAAAAGAGGACCTGAAAATTTCTATCTTTGGTTTCACCTCATCTCTCAAGGATGTGACAAACACTAAACACAAGCAGATATTCAGTTCATGTGTTCAGTGGAAAGGTTACTTGAGCTTAGTACATTGACTTTCATGAAGTACTGCCAGCACATCCTGTGATATCTTGATTCATTGTATTAAGTACCACCCTGGAATTATACTGAAATACAGCATTTCTAGAAAGTTGCCTTCAACATGAAGGTAAACACATTATTTGATAAGGATGCTTGTTTTCCTTCATACACCAATTCACAGATATCCTGTCAGTTCAGTCATTCTGTGTGGCTGCCTCTGCTCTCTTTGCCTTGATATCTGAGCATCTACCAACATTACGGGAATTCTATTTAGAGTCTAAATGTAGATTTTGTGAAATTATGGACACCAGGCAGATCCAGAACAATTATTAATGAGAAAAGTTGTGGTAAAGCTGCAAATTGAACTTTTCATCCTCAGGGAAAGATTTCCTTACTGGTAATTTATTAGTAATATACCACCAGAGGAAATAGGTTAAATTGAAGAAAAATATGTACAATATTTTAATGGATCACACCTCATACATATTGTCTAATGTGATAAATAAAGATCCCTTTCTCAAGACTAGTTCTAAAAAAAGTTTAAACCAAGCTGAAGAGGGTATTTGGACATGAACTCCCAAAGTTTTAATTTTTTTTTCCATCAGGGCTTGCCTGATACCAGATAGTACAGAATTACAATTATCTGTCTTGCTTTATTGGATGTGTTTCTTCAAGGTGAAGTCTGGATACTTTTTGCAAGGCCATCATTTTCATGGCAGCTCATGCACATCATAAATACACAGGTCACCATGGCTGCATCTGCACAGACAGGAAAAGCCACCTTGTAACTGCTACACAAAAATTATTTTTAGCAGCTGCTGGTGAGCAGGTTTTGAGTTTCTGTAAGAAAATGAGGAAGACTTGTGAGCAAGTACTTGCATGATAAAGACAGCCTCCAGAAACAGACTGATGGAAAGCTCTGGGAAGCCCCTTGTTCTGAGAAGTGTTCTCGGCCTCCTATCACAAACACACCAAGATCTGCATAGGGCATCTGCTCCCAGCTTTTAAATTAAAATTACAAGCACAGAGTTCAGTCCAAATACAGAAAATTTCACTGACATTTTTTACAATGTTGCAAACATCTAAATTCTTTTTAGATGCCTCATTTGATGAAAACAAAGCAATCCCCCCAGTCACTGGGATTTAAAAACCTCTTTAAAAGTGTGGGTTAAGTGTAGTAGATTAAATTAATCCACTGCTATTACTGACATGTTTTCAGCTTATTATAACATGGCTAATTTCCCTACTGACAGACTGGAATGTTCTCTCTCATTCAGATGTTTCCTTCCACAAAACATTCTGAGGCATCAGCTTGGTTCTGACTCCAAAGGAAGAGTACCACCCACTGAATCACTCCTGTGGCATCCTGCATTTTCCTTAGAGAGTCTCCTCAGCCTAAGTTCTGGCCATTTGATGTGAATATAACTCAAAACTAAATGTAAAAAAAAAAGTACACATACATAACATAGACATACACAGTAAACATATGGAGAATGCATTGCTGCCACATGCAACTGGAGGTTATTAGAGCTCTCTTTAGGAAAAAACCCACATAATTTATAAAACATACGTGCTGCTTTCATGCTATTCCCTTTCCTTACCTCTAATAGAAAACCCCAGAGAAAGCAATTTATACTTACAAAAAGCAGCAGCATCTCTTGTAAAAGATAAATGCCAAATTATATAGTGAGTAGGAAAACATAGCACTGGTTGTTGGCCCACTGGAAATGTATTTTCTTTTTCTCTCTAGGGTTTCTTTTCTCTTTTTTTTTTTATTTTCTTTTTTTAAATACTCTTATCTCTTCCCATACCAGGAAAACCCTGGAACTGACTAGGAAAAAAATCCTTACACATAGACAGGAAGAAGAGATTTCAATTTGATGAAAATGTAAAACTCATGTTAAAACTCATGCCTAATGGAAGGCCGCAAGAAGATATCTGCCAATGTCTCCTGTTGCCACTTTAGAGGAATAAAATGAATATCAGGTATCTTGTTTAAATATCTAATAGCAATTTTGTTTTGACAATTCAGTACTGAATGAAGCAACTTTTTTCTTTAAACTGCCACCAGATTAACAGAGCAAACAGGTTTTCAGTGGAGGTCACACCAGAAATTCAATAAAAAATACTTACAAGAAATATAACAGCTTTGAAAAGCCAAGTCCTATGTCAGTTCTAATAATCTTTTTTTCTTCTTAGCAGATGAGGAGCTTTTTAAGGTGACATTGATACTAGAAGAAATAAGGCTTCTCATAATAAAGCTACACAGCAATATTGTCTCCATCCCTAAATATTTGTATAGCATTAAATAACATTCTCCTTCATTATTATACTCCTGAGGAGTCATTCATGATATACATAACAAATCAATAAATCAGTAGGAATGCCTGGCAGTGATAATAGGCTTTTAAAAAGAACAAATACAAGGATTAAAATCCTAATTATAGGGGAAATAATGAAGGTGTATGATGGAACACTAAATTATATATTGCTAAAGGTGTCCCATTTAGTTACTAGACCTGCACTTTCATTCTCAGGAAGGAAATTTACCTTTAAAGCATCATATTTATCTGACAATACTGAATGCATTATAATCCCAGCTCCCAGCTAGTGCATTTAATGGTTTATACTCTGCTGACGTTAAATTTGTTGCAGATTTACCTCTTCCTGTTGTAGCCATCTCACATGTTTGAGACACAAAGCAGCCAAACTTGGCTTTTCTTGCCAGAAAAGTTTCTCCCAGGTTCAGAGAGGGTCAAGTTTCCTTGTCCAAGCTCTTATTCCAAGTGCTCCTGGCTACACAGGTTCCCAACTGCAATTTGCCAGGGAATTTGCAGCCTCTGGTGAGGCACTGTGCTGTGTCTGCTGGCACTCCAGTGGGCAGGATGGGCTGGGCATCCTGCAAGAATGGAGAACAGGAGTGGGGTCAGGCAGCTTAAAGAGATGGTTTACCAAAGAGATTCCCTTCATTTCTGATCCCTCCTCATCCAAAACCTTGGATCTTACTGACACAATATACATGGGGAAGAGTTTGGTCAGATTGAAGAAAGATAGAACATAAACCAACCCAACCCCACAAACCTATAAAACCAAACCAAACTAAACAAAAAAGAGATGGATAAAAATTATATAACCTAATATTTAATCTCACTAATTTGTGTCCAACCTTCAAAACAGTTTGTCAAGCTGTTGGGAATGCTAAGAGTTCCAAATAAATGTGAAGCTCAGGACACAGCTAGATTGTGCCTCTCTAGGGAATTTGTGACATACTGGAGGTATTCTGGTGGTTTGGAGGGCTCATTTCTTACTGGGAAAGCCAAATTAAATGAGGAGGAAGACTTTTCATCTAATACTGAGGGATGATCTTATTATTATTTTTTTAATCCAGTAGTACATCCAAGGAGGTGGTACTGCATTTTAGCACCTCACTTCCATGTCCTTAAAATAAGCAGATCAATTGAAAAAGGCAAAGAGAATTTTAGAATTGACAACTGCATGGAAACATTGATCATACACTGTAACTGAGCTGAAGCTTGAAAAAGGAATTGAAGACCACAGCGGTTTAAAAAAAACTATTTCCCTCCTATTTTATATAAAAAAGTTTCATTTCAGCCTTTGCATTTTATTAAGGGGGCGGGGAGGAGCAGAGATTATTTAATTTATTAAACTGCAACAATTATTTTAAGATTATTTTTAGAAGAATTATAACTTTTTTTGTCTCATTCAGGAAACTGAAATATATTTTAAAATTTCACAGCCTCTCAAACAAAATTTTAATCTCTGGTCTGGAATGATGAACAAGAAACAAACAATACTGCATTTTTACACATAAGCTTTTTAACCTCAGAAGTTTTGGGGGGTTTTTTAGCTCATTTCCATTTATATGTACATATATTTATAACACATGTATTTATTTGTACATATTGCATGGAAATGCTACTATTAAATATTTAGTTTTAGGCTTTCATTTCCACAGACTTTTGACTAATCCTTGTACTTTAAGTGAAATCTTATTAAACCTTAAGCTCACTAGTTGGTAAAGTATTCATGCAGCTTAAATAATGACATAGGGAGAAAGAAATTTGGAGGCAGAGATCAAGGAGAGGAAAAAAAACCTGCTACAGTGGAAAAGTGATGGCAACTGAATGAGGCATGGAAAATGTTTTAGACAAAGCAGCAGTATGAACAAAATTCTGTTAGACTCTCGACAGAGACAGCAGGAATGAATGAGAAACAGTAGGTAGGTGCTAAATGGAGCTGGTTACAAATTCCCATCCTGCCAAAATGGATTTGCTGTACACAGTATTTTTCATTGATGTATGTTCTATTTTTGTTTTCCCAGTTACTTATTTCAGGATATTATTAAATGAAAAGACAAACAACAGACTGAATTTGACCTTGAGAAGAAAGCAAGTTACTAAAGCAGGGTTTTTCATTTTGCTTTTCTTTTAAAAAGCCCCGGGTTTGTTTTTTTTTTTCAGGACTGAAAAAGCATGTGATACCATATGAAATGTGCTTGTTTAGCTCAAGATGATCTCACCAATAGGGTTTTCAGCCATTCCCCTGAATTGAGGCCTTCAAATTTTCCCTTATGCAAACCAGCAGCATTTATTCCTCCTCTGTCCAGATCCAGTGAGAATGAAAAATGGTTTTATTGAGCCTTCATTCCTCCCCACTTCAATCAGTAAATGTCTCATCAAAGTAATACAGTGCCTACAGTCACAGCTCTTCTCCACAACTAGGCAAAACTCATTAGGGTGCTTTGTTTGTTGTGGGGTTTTTTAAAGAAAAGCATAGGTACCTGTTTCCTGTCTGGAGACCCCACATCAGGGATGCCCTGATACACCAAGTTCTCCAAGCCTGATTACCTCAATCTGCCACAGCTTTGATGGAAAGAGCTCCTGATGTTCCCCAATATTGCCCACTGGAGAGGAAAGAAAAATGGTTCTCTGTCTTTGGATTAAAGTTGACACATAAGGTGAAAATGCTTTGGTTTCAAAGTGAACCCCAAACTGTGCCTTCCCAAAGCTGGGCCTGGACCCAAATCCATCCAGCTGGGGTCCAGGAGCTGCATGTCCAGCTGGTGCCTGATGCCTGCAGCAGAGCCCTGTGCAAGCTCTGAACACTGCTCACATGAAAACTGCCCCACCTTGTGCTTCACATGGCCTGGCTATGAACCACACTTCATTGCCAAACCAACTCTGATTGTTTGGGTTTTTCTAGCAGAAAGTGGAATTCAGGAGGATTTGAGCTGTAGATTCCACAGAATGTGGCTCACTGTGAGCAATCCCTGAGCAGATCCCCACTGCCACAGCAACTTCTCAAAACCCCTCACAGCTCCTTGAAGGCATAACTTGAGCCATACAAGAGACTTCCCAGTCCTAGCAGGATTTTTTCTGCAGTACCTCTTCCTGTCAAAGCTTTTATAAAACAAAAACTACATGAAAATATTTAGAAAGTGTGGTTTTACATCTCAATTCCTGTGATTGGTTTCCAGGATCTCTCTTTTACTTACTTCAGCTGCTACTGTCCAAAGCTGGTGAGTCCAATAGGGATCAACTGAAAATATAAATATGTATAGACATAGATATATACATTCTAAAATATGCCTATAGACTCACAGACATCCTGGCAAATAAAGTTATCCCCTCCCACCTCTCCCCAGTAGTAAGTCTCTGCCTCAAGAGTGGTAAACCCTGGGTGCTGGTGAGTGATTTTTGGCTCTTGACATGAGTGGGTGGAAGCAGAGGGACCTATATGTTACACAAAGGTTCCTTTAGCTCCCCCTTAATGCATCCCAAGACATACACAGGTGTCTCCTGCTTTGGGGGATAAGCAATCACCCGAGCCAGCAAACTGCACTGTGAGAATCCAAGGTTCCTCTCCTTTATTTTATAGAGGGACCAGTGCAGCTCTGCACACTGCTTGCCTCAGGAAATTATTCACTGCATTGTGCTTGTTTAGAATCAAGTGATATCTAAGAAACTATTTACCAAATGCAGTTATTATTTCTTGTTTTAACAATATTTTCATTGGTGTTTTTATAATTTTCTCAGATATATTTCAGTCATCACATTTTAGTGAAATATACTTGCTCAGCACATCATACTCATGGAGAATCACAATATGGACAGAATCTCTTATTTAGCTGGTGCTGCCTGCTCTCTCCCACTGTCACAGCTGGAGAAGATGTTATTCCTGAAGGCTGCTGGGCTCCAAGCACACACATAGGAAGTAGCTAACTTTTCTTTTTAGAACTGCATGAAGAGTTACAGACCATTCAACAATATTTAAAACTCCAGTTACATTCATTGTTCCATTTGTTCTACATTTTGAAGGATAACTCAAATTCATTTTCATTTAAAGGACAAAGTATTTCCTTTTTAGTTTGTTTTGGATCATTTTAGTGAAGCCAGCGTGCCCCTCAGGGTGGTTATGTATCCCCAAACTATCCTGCTATTAAAGTTGACCACATTTTGATGGAAAGCATTCTTTGACTGCAAATTCCTTGTGGTGGTATTTCAGAGCATTCAGCCTAAATCTCCTTAGCTTCTTTCTTCAGGAAGAAAATATTATCAGTGAGAAATTATTGAGGCTCAGTTATTCCAATTAGTTCAATCCTTATCAGTGTTATTAATTCAACAGTGAATGTAATTCATTCAATAACCTGAAGAAGCAGGTGTTAAAAATCTTGACAGATTACATTCAAATGGCATATTTAAATTCAGTTTTTTGTTACAAAACAGGCTTTTTTTTGAATAACAGGATCCTGAAATAACATTAATACTTCCAGAGAATAAAATTATTCTAATTTATAATGGACTCTAACCTTATTATGGTTACAGGCTCAATAAGCTGTTTATTTGATCAAGTAATCCTTTAGGCAGAACTATTAAAACTTTTAAGTTTGTTTTTAATAGCTTCTCTTGTGGTAACATTTATGTTCACCCAGCATTTCTGAGGTTTTCTATTTATTCTATAGCTTTGACCAAATTATCCTGCTTCTCCTTGTTACAGTACATCAGAGCACATTTGTCTCTCTGATTAATAAAGGTGCCTCTTGCATTTGCTGACTTGAAAAAAACATGAAAATATTCACTGGGTGAGGTTGGATCCCATTTTATCATTATCTGCAGAAAATATCTCCAATAGCTGCAAATTCATAAACTATTTTCAGCTGAGGAGGGATATACAGGTCTTCATCCTAAACAACTGGCATATCTTTTCTTTTTAAGAAAATCTCATTCCCAGTCACATCCTACCCCTTTAGGTCTTTTAATAAGGTAATAACCATGTTCCATTTATGTAACCATATTCCATTCCATATACAATTCCATCACTTCAGAGCCAGTCTTTGTCAACAATACCTGAATCTTTCTGCTCTTAACACAAGAGGAGACAATCTATAGTTTCCCCAAAAAGAATGAGATCAAAAGTTCTCACTGCTGAGGCTGACTGATCATTTTAGTGTTATAAACTGACTCTGTAAACTTTGTAAGGACTTTTGCAAAGACATATTCAGTGCTAAAGTCAATTCTGAAAGAATATCCAGACTTAAGTGGGAATCTTTCTGCATGAACTGAGATGGAGAATCTTTAGTAAATTTGAGTTTCTATGGAAAGTTTTTGAGTTGGGAGATAGGAACAAGAACTTCAGATGAATTACTAGGGCTGTTCTGTACAGGTTTATCAGTACAAAAAAGTCTAGTGTACAACTAAAAGCACATAGAAGAGAACTGTATTACTGCCTGTTCTTTTTCCTTCATCTACTTCAGGTAAGCACTGGTTGTTAGCCAAGAAATAAAAAGGCACCCTACACTTGTGTGCCAGATGTGCCTTGGTATGGCAGGGCAATGTACCTGCAGAGTGTGCTTCATACCTTCTGCTTTACAGAGCATGG